ATCTATCTATCTATCTATCTATCTATCTATCTATCTATCTATCTATCTACCTATCAATCATCTATCTATTTATCTCTTCCTACCTACCTATCATCTATCTTTAAAAACATGCCTGAGTGGAGGAGGGGAGATATTCACAACTAAAAATTAGTGTGAAAACAATTACTATACTTCAAGTTTTACACAGGTTGCTGTCATGTGGAATTATTCACAAATGCTTTTTCCTGAAGGAGGGAGGGGATGCTGTGGAAGAAGAGCTCTACCTTCTTCAGCTGTGAAAATCCCATTACAATCCCAGCAGCAAGGCTGCAGAAACATGCGCTAAATAAAACTGGGGAACTGATTGGCTCTTTTGGTACCTGCTGATAAGGAGCCTCCTCTGCTGTGGAAACAAATGTCCCTGATGGGGAAAGGCCTCCATTAGTCAAAACAAATTCCTGCTTGGAGGCTCTGGACCAAATATACTTGTGGGAAGAGGAGGGTGGGAGTTTTTGTTGGTAGAAAGAAACTGCAGCAATCTCTTCCCCTCCACTTCCAACTCATTTTCACAGGATCCTTTTCTCTCCCTGCAGAACAGAACTTGACATGTTGATTGCACGTTGCTGGCAGAAACTGTGAAAAGTTATTATTGGAAAATTATCTTACGATACTTGCTAACTTCATTTATGGACCGCCACACTGGCACGTGAGTTTGTCCAAGCAATAGAATAAACGCTAATTTAAAATGGGGACAAGGATAATTAGAATAAAGCTCGACGTTCCAGATGTCAATAGATCACGCAGCCTCTTTCTCTTTGGTGGTTCACCTTGGGCCCTGGGCATGCCCAGAACACACTCTGCTAGTGGTTTCCTCTGGGGACAGGAATTCCTCTCACCTTCTTTTGTCTTCCACTGTGCTTCTTGGAGCTGTTCTGCCTGTATCCAGATCTCATAAGCTATAGTCTTTTCACCAAATGTCAACCCTTTTTTCATGTTGAGTTTTAGAAGCAGAAAGACTACATGCCCTTCTGAAGTTTTGCCACAGGGTGCTTGTTTAACAAGGATCATATCTGAAGGCCCGCCTGTCCCAATGATGCTGAATGAATGCTCAGCTTAGTTGTGCGCTGAATGGCTCCTACTCAGAAGCCAAGTTCAACAGTCCCCAACACATCAAAGGTTTGATGTTTCCCTTTGTTCATTAAATATGACTTTGCTTTAATCTAAGGACTGGACTTCCTGCATGGCATTGTACCTGACACAATGCCAACCTCCAGTCCTTTCTTTGGGGGGTCAGATTTACATCTGCTTTGCAAATGGGAGCAATCCATTGTTCATGAGTAAATGGTGGCTTGGTGGTTGGGCTGGGGAAGGATCTCAGCAAAAGCTCCCCTTTCCTTCAAGTCAAAGCTGCACTCTGTCTTTCTTCCCTCTACCCCCACAGCAAGCTTCGTGTTTGGAACTAAAATTTCCCCCAGCGTGCCTTTAAACTAAAATACTCTCACTGTGTTATTCTAAAGACATTTAATTGTAGCATGAGCTTTTTGGCAAAAGAAAACAGACAAGGCAAAGTGATGAAGGGAGACAAAGACGTATTGAGAAAAGATGTATCTTCTATTGTTAATTATATATAGTGTGCGCATCTGGAGCCTTTACAATGAACAGCAAGGCAGGGATAATATCACAGCCGATCAAAACACTGCATTCTTAGTCACTGAGAAGATTATAAACCTGCACAGCAGCTCAAACGCACCCATAAAGGCAGAAGTAGTCTACAATGCACTGCGACCATCTACGATTGAAAAACTTGGAATAAAAATCACAAGGCATTCACAGTGCATGCTTTAAAAGTATACCTCGTTTTTTACGGTACCTCAGGCTTGACTATTTCAGGTATTCTACCATATTATCTATTATGTGGGATCAGGTATGAAGAGGACCTCATAGGCTCCTCCATCATCTTCCTGGGGGAAATAAGGCAATAACAAGGTCACAGTGCTGGTACAACTGGGCCCTCCATCCAGCTTCATAGCATATGAACTGTGTGACTACAGGTTAACTTCTTAACCCTTCTTGGCCTTAGATTTCTTATAATGAAATCTTCATAATAAAAACTAGCTCTATATAGTATCCAGACTTTGTGATAGAACCGTGTTGAGTAACATGGGACAGTATTTTATTATCTATAATTCCCCAACAATGCAGGAGACTAGAGTTATTGTAGATGTCAATATGAACACATACATACCAAAATTTGGAAGTAATGGCTCCATCCAGTAAAATACTAAATCTATTTTAAGACTCTTTAGCCTGAATAATCAGATTTAGGTTAAAGATTTATAGCAGGGGATATCTGCTATAAATATTTCTAGCCAAGACATAAGAAAGTTATGTGAGATGTGAATCCTGGGTGATAATATTTGGTAAGGATACCATCATTGAATGGTCCCATGTCATAGACTTTGTAGATCAGTGCGATGGAGCTGACCCTCCAGTAGGAAAAAGAATTGCTTGGAGAAACTGTGTGGCTGCTTTGCATGCTTGGTAACTTGAGCATAACCACAAGAAATAGACTAATAGTGTTTATCATTTGCATGTACAGGTAGCATGAAGCCCCAAGTGTAACATTTTGGGTGGTAAGTGGAACAGAGAGCCTTGCTTATTTTGCAGTCAAATTCTGAGTACCTTTCATGTGACAGATGATATGTTCACAAATGGAGATACAAATTAAGTGAGTCTTGTTTCCTTGCTGCAAAAAGCTTAGGTCAAATAATTCCTATACTTGGATTACATCTACAAGAATATGAATGGGCTGTATAGAATATGGAAATCTAGTGCATTTACTTCACTGTTTCAAATTTTCTGAGAAAAAAAAATTTAACCGTATAATTTTAGGCAGTGATTCATCCGTTTTAGAGATCAATAAAAAAGAACATGTAATTTTCAGAATGAGAAAAGTCATCTGAATCATAACAAAGCTAAAAGGAGCAAGAAAAACTTAAGGCATGTCCATGTGAGAAAGTCTGTAGGGGACATAACACCAAAGAAATGTAAAGAATTTTCTGTGCCTACATTAGCTAATAACTAATGCACATTGGGAAAGATGAAGTAGTAATAGAATTCTAGACTTTATTCAAGGATGGAATGACGGTTTTGCATGTGGAGAGGAGATGAGACAAAAGATCACATATTGATTATAAGGCTGTGGATCACATGAGCTATACTAAACTAGTAAACTCATCAATAAGCTATCAACTATTATCTGGAGGACAGAATTAAAAAAAACCAAAATGAAAAACTGAATTGGGCTTATGAGAATATAATAACCATGCTATTTAACAATCCCACCTACATACTGAAAAACAGGCAGAAAAATGTTTCTTTAAGTTGATGCAGAGTTGTAAGACAGCTACCAAGATGTGGGACGACAAATCAGAAGTCAACATAATTTTAGAAAACAGAAAAACAGGGGAAGACTGCCAATGTTGACAATCAGAGAAGGAAGCACTACTTGGTAGTAGTCTATATCTGAGTGTCACGTCCTTGTATGCAACTAGCCATGGATCAAAAACATCAGCAAAAATTATGTGCATGCTCAACATGTACAGACTTTCCCCTTTATCATTCTCTAAAAATAGAGTATGAGGATTATTTATTATATATTTATGTGGTACTATGCATTAGTAGTAGTCTAGGATGATTTAAAGTAGGGGGGGCTGGAGAGAGAGCTCAGTGGTTAACACTGGCTGTTCTTGCAGAAGACCTGGGTTCGAATCCCAGCACCCATATGGCAGCTAACAAGTGTCCGTAACTCCAGTTCCAAGGGATCCGACAGTCTCTTCTGTCCTCTGGGGGCATTGCACAACACAGGTGCACTTACCTACATGTAGGCAATACACACATACAAATAAAATAAAAATAATAAATAAAATATTTTTAAAACTACAGAGGAGGTATGCACAGGTTAAAGACAAATGCTGTGTCTCCTAAACATTTGGAGATTTGAGTATTCACAGGGCTCATGGGCAATTCCCTGAGGAAATACAACGAGGACTGTATCATCCTTTTTCATAGAATAAAGGATAATCAAGTATGCATACTGTTAAACAGCTGACCATGGCATTCAACTTAGCATGAGCTTAAATATGAACGAGACAGTAGGCAAGGGGTTATCCTTATGAATCACATCTGGTTTGGAGCAGACAGCAATTTTAAGATCTAAGGGATAAATGTTGATAGAAACTGGATTTGAAAATGAATACTTATGAAAAAAAATGAAGAAAGAATGAGATTATTCAGTCTACATAGGCAATACTGAGTTTAAAAAGTACTGAGGGCAATGGGGATTTTTACAAAATGTGCCCCCTCAGTCTTATCCTTTTCTCCAGACCAAAGTGCCAACTAGCATTGTTTCAAAATTAAAACATAAGCTTGAATGAGGATCAAGTATTATGTGAAAACTCCATGAAAAGGAATTAGAATGTTTCTCCTTTGACTTCCCATGATGGAAAAAGCCTTCTTTAAGATCTTTACCTTATAACAACATAGAAAATGACCAGACTACCCTCTCAAAAACCCTTCTAGTTGTCTATTTTTAGTGAGTTATTCCATTTTTCCCCAATCACTCTTCTCATCTCCGAATGTCCACTTTTGGCTTTCCTCCTGAGCAGGGTCAGCCCATCAGTCCCTCAACCTGGTGGCTTTTCTAGATGGTTCTTGATGGTTCTATATGTATCTTTCCTATATTCTTTCCAGGCTCTCTCCTGTGGTTCACAAATGAATGCATTCCAGAAGTCTCTCATCTTTGTGACTTCCTCCCAATAGCTTGGTGTGAGAGAATACAGGACGTACTGAGGGTGAAGAATTCAGTAACAGTCATAAGACAAAGGCGGCTGACCTCCCCATCAGCGAAGTGAGTCTCCTTACAGCACATGATCTACATCAACCCAGCAAAGACATAAAGGCTCACAAAGCTGCTTCTTTTGTCCAGCTGTGAGCTTGAATGCGGAGTCATGAAGTGTATTCCAAGCTGACCATTTTTCTTTTTCCTTTCTTAAAGTTGCTATGCCTCATGCAAGCATGTCAATTCCTCTGATAAATACCAGCCTTCTATTCTTTCAGGCACTGATTAGGTAGTCACAGAGCATCCGTCCCTCACCCCATTGCTTCTGGATTTAAGTATGAGGTTAGCTTATTTCTTTCCTCCAGGCGAGATGAAGTGTCAGGAACAGGCTGGCAGCAGCCAGACCTCCTTCTACCATATGTAAAGGGCAAGACGCAGGTGTTCGCTCACTGTTTGAACTAGAGTGTTTCTGGAAAGTTACTAGGCCACAGCAATATATTTTTCAAAGGGATTTATGGTTTGGAAAACCTAAAGGGAAAAGGCAATCCCAATCCCAATTTTATTCGATTGTGATTCTGCACAGGGTATATAAACACCCATGCAGTCACTCATGGAACTGATCTTTTCAGGGAGGTCCTGTGAGTTTTCCTCCCCACATGCTTTCCTTAATCTCTCATTTATTTTTTAACAAGAACACATTCAAAGTTTATAGTTATACTTTAAAAATGAGTAATTGCTTCTTACCTGGAATTTCTTGCTAGCAAAAGGCCCCTGTCAAACTTACCCCAGATTAAAACGATGTACCGCAGTGGGACAAAGTACAAAGCCACAGTGGCTATGGCCAGAATCAAACAGGCCAGCAATGACAGGAACGGGACGGTCCAGTTAAACATGCTGAGGACAAACCACACCAGTGTCAGTTCCACCTGATGCTCAGTTACTACCGCAGTATTATCATAGGACATGTATTTCTTTCTTTAAAAAAAAGTACTTTTATTTTCTAAGTTCAGTGTATTACCTTCACGTGTATAATTGTTTGTCTGTTGATAGGAAAAAAATAAACTGAAGACCAGAAGTCTGCTAAACTGACTGGGTACTTGAGAAATATTAATGAGGAGGCTATCACAGGACCATTTACCAGGGAACTTGTTGGAGTAGCAGTACCTTTGCCTTTCTGAATCCAAGAGTCTCTGGGACTTAAACACTTTACATTCTCAAAAGTAGATTTGCAATATTGCCACAATGGCTCAGTACCTACTTCTCTTCAAAAACAACATTAGTTAAGTCACTTCTAGGGCACTGTTTCTCTTTCAGTGGACATACAGCTGCCAGTAAATATTCAGAAAGGAATCATTATTAATATAGTATTTGTGGGTTTTTATGCTTTTGTGTCCCATAATAATTTCCATTTACAAGTCTAGATTTGTTTATCTAGGAAGCTAATAATGTCCTGAAGTAAGCAGGGGAGCATTTGGCCACTGAACATCATAACACCTGTAGATTACATACAATGCAGATTACAGATAATGGAGTCTTTCTATAGCACTCAGGACATCATTTATTGTATTTGTTGCCTGCATGGACTTGCTCGCAAATGGGGCCTGAGAACCTGAACTATGGAAGTAAGTGCATTGTGAATGCTAATTGCGTAGTTTTGGAAACTAACTGCCTCCTGAGCTTTCATAGGGGCTTAGAGTGTTTTTTCTTACTGGCTTCACCTTCATGGACAAATGTCTGCTGAAAGTTTGCTTGTGCTAGGTGTACAAAGGACTTTTCCTGCTGTCTTTCTTTGGAGAGACTAGCCAGACATCTTGAATCATTTCAAAAGAAGCAAAATATAAGCGTTCTCAGTCATCAAATACATATCATATATTATGCCATTATTTTTTATATTAGGAAAGTGGTGCTCTTAATAATTCTGCCCATGTAAGTATCAGCCCCATTTTACAGATGATCAAATGGAAGCTAACACTAACTTGTGTAACTAATCAAGATTCAGGGCTGGGAAGATGACTCCATGGGTAAAAGTACTCATTATTATACAAGAGGACCAGTATTCAGATCCCCAGTACCAGGTAGAAAAGATCAGACATGACCATGTTCCCTGTAACCCTAGCACTGTTGGGCAGAGATAGGCAGATTCCAGGAGCTAGCTGGCTCATCTTCTTTCTGAAATAGCAACTCATAGGTTCAATGAGAGATTCTGTTTCAGGGGAATAAGGTAGAAAGTCAGAGAGTAGGACAACAGATATCTTCCCCTGATACACACACTCATGCATGTACCACATACACACACACCAGAAATAAACAACATTCCATCAATAATACAGAGGGTAGTACACCTTCTCTTTAAGTCTATCAATATTTTTGAGAGGTATAGTATTTATTATGTGTAACTCTTCAGTTCCTTCCTTGTAAGCAAATATGTGCAGTCTGTAATACGCTTGATGATTATCTTAAGCTGAATGTTATTAATAAGGAAGTATTTTCTTGCCTGGGGTCAAGTTTGGAAAATGCTTTAGAAAACTGACTTATAAGCAAATTGACTTGGGTTCAAGTCCAAGTTCTGCTTCTAATATGCAAAGTGATTTGGGGGAATTGATTTAATCTATCTGAATTGCATCATCCTCTTGGTTAAACAGGCATATTAATGGTAGTAAAGCATAGACCTGTCTAGAATTAAACAAGAACTTTCATTTTAGTAGCTAGCTGCTTAGTTGATATCTTTAATTTTAGCATACATATAATTTTAAAGAAAGATAGCATTATATTATCAAATTTATACTTTATTTCCTTGTCAAGTTTTAGATTTGGACAGAGTTTTTACTTTTATCCATTTTTCAGTTTTTGAGATAGTGCCTCATACTATCATGCAGGCTAGCCTGGAACTCTATTTAATATATGGTCCAAAATAGCCTTACACTCATTAGAATCCTCCTGCCTCAGCCTCCCAGTGGGGATGAAACCATATTTACCATAGTAGTAAGTGACAAGAAATCAAAGTTGGAGGCATCCTTGCTCACCATAGTCACCTATGTCTAGTTGCCAAAGTCCAGTTCACAGTGCTTTCTCAGTCACAGAGAAATCTCTAAATCAAACACCTTATCTAAGAGACAGAAAAAGTTTAAATGTATTTATACTCTACAATACTGAACAGATTTAGAAAACCAAGAGAATATAAAGATTA